GTACAGTGCCCTGGGAAGTGGTGGCAGAGATGACCTCCCTTGGGATGAGGCATCAGAGCCAGCTGAGCTCTGATGGGATTCATCTGACAAAGTGAGGCGAGTCTGTCTTTGCTAATAGGCTTCGCAACCTTGTGAGGAGGGCTTTATGTTTGTTGGAGAAGGGGTTTCATTCTCTGAAGAGAAGGGGGAGCAGTGAAGATGTATCAGGGGAACAACAAGATGGAAGAGGTTCTTATGCTCACCTCATGAAAGCAGCATGACTGGCAGCCTATCTCAAGTGCCTGTACCCAAATGCAAGCAGCATGGGGAACAAACAGGTGGCATTAGACATCCTCATGCTGCCACTGAGCTTGGACCTCATGTAGGATTGCACACATCCTTGTGTGGAATGGCTCTCAGGATGGGAGTGCTGAAGAAGATGGACACAGAATCTTCATGAAGGACAGGCTGGGAAGGTGAGGAGCAGGAGCTGTGCTCTGTGCAAAGAGGTGGCAGCAGTGTATGGGCAGGTCTCTTTGGACAGAGCAAGCTGGCCCAGGGCATGGGGGTCAGGAGCAGAGGAGAGATGAGCAGGGGTGGTATGGTGGTGTGTCTGCTACACACTGGCTGGTCAAGAAGTGCGTTAGACAGCTGGAGGAAGCCTAAAAATGGTATGTCCCGGTACTCGTGGGGGACTTCAGCCAATCCAAAATCCACTAGAAGGGCAATAGGTCTGAGGGCAAGCAATGCAGATATTTTTGAAGTGTGCTGAAGACAATTTCTTAATGCAGGGAATCAATGAGCTGACAAAGGTGGGGATACTCTGCTGGAGCTATTGCTCATAAACAAGGAGGAACTGGTTGAAGGTATAAAGGTTGAGGGCAGCCCTAGCTACAGTGATTATGAGATGCTGGAGATCAAAACACAGAGAAGTGGGAAAGACAAGTAAGTGGAATCACAACCTTACACTTCAGGAGAGCAGATTTTGTCTTCTTCATAGATCTTGGCAGGATCCAATGGGCAACTAGCCTGTAAGGCAAAGGGGCACAAGAAACTGGTTGATCTTCATGGACCCTTTGACACCTCCTCAAAGCACAAGAACAGTTCATTATAATGTGCAGAAAGTCAAACAAGCATGGAAGAAGGATAGTATGGATGAACAGGCACGTCAGCACAGAGCTCAAATGCAAAAAAAAAGATGTCTACAGAAGTTGGAAGCAGGGATGGGGTGCCCTGAAGGGACATTGAGGCATTACCTGAGGATGCAACGATAGAGATAGGAAAGCCTTCCAGTCATGGCAATCAGGGGAGGTACCTGATGACTAGAAAAAGGCAAACGTCACACCCAGCATCAAGAAGGACAAGGAGGATCCAGGGAACTACAGACCAATCAGCCTGACCGCAGTCCTTGGGAAGGTTATGGAGCAAATCGTTTTGGAAGCCTTTTCGTAGCACAAAAAAGGACAAGATGGTGACTGGGAACAGCCAGGTGTCCTGGTTTCAGCTGGGGTAGAGTTAATTTTCTTCCTAGTAGCTGGCATAGTGCTGTGTTTTGGATTTAGTATGAGAATAATGCTGATAACACACTGATGGTTTAGTTGTTGCTAAGTAGTGCTGACACTAGTCAAGGATTTTGCAGCTTCCCATGCTCTGCCAGGTGCACAAGAAGCTGGGAGGGGGCACAGCCAGGACAGCTGACCCCAACTGGCCACAGGTCTATTCCATACCATATGAAGTCATGCTCAGGATATAAACTGGGGGGAGTTGGCCAGGGGGCAGTGATTGCTGCTCGGGGGCTGGCTGGGCATTGGTCTGCGGGTGGTGAGCGGTTGCATCAATTGTTTTTTCCTGGGTTTTGTTTCTCTCTCTTGTTCTCTTTTCCATTACAATTTTTATTACTATTAGTATAATAATAATTATTATTTTATTTCAATTATTAAACCATTCTTATCTCAACCTACGAGCTTTCTTTTGCCCTTCCAATTCTCTCCCCCATCCCACTGGTGGGGGAGTGTGAATGAGTGGCTGTGTGGTGTTTGGTTGCTGACTGGGGTAAACCACAACATCAGGCCAAATTTTACCCCTTTATTTCCTTTAACAGAGTTTACACACTTTTATGCCCTTTACTGAGGATGAATTGTGCCTGACCAACATGATTGACTTCTGTAATGAGGAGACTGGCTCAGTGGATGAAGGGATGTTGTCTACCTTGACTTCAGGAAAGTCTTTGGCATGGTCTCCCATAGTGTCATTAGAGCCAAATGGTGAGATACGGACTGCTTAAGTGGATGATAAGGTGGCTGGAATATTGGCTGGACCTTAGGGCTCAAAAGGTGGCCATCAGAGTCACAAAGTCAAATTAGCAACCAGCTGCCTCTGCATATCCCTCAGGGGTTGATATGGGGGCCAGCAGAGGACTACCAGGATGGTAAAGGGATGGAGAACGTGACATCTGAGGAGGCACTGGGGAAGCTGCGTCTGTTCAGCTTTTAAGAAAAGACAGTTTTGGGGGTATCTTGCTGCAGTCTACAGCTACCTGATGAGGGTGTGTAGAGAAGATGGAGACAGACTCTTCGTAGGCGTGCACAGCAGAAGGATGAGAGGCAAGAAAGCTGGAAGATGGGAAGTTTCAAGTCAGTATTAAAAAAAAAAATTGTCATGAGGGTGTTCAAACACTGGCGCACATCTCCCAGAGAGGTTGTGGGATTGCTGTCCTTGGAGACACTTGAAAATCAACTGGAGAAAGACCTGAGCAAACAGTTGTAACTCAAAGTACAACATGATTCTGTGATTCTGATTTTTTACAATTTATTTTGACACATTAGGGATAGCCATGGCCTGATGTCTGGATTCAGAATTAATTCAGGGAAGTCCTGTGGCCTCTGCCGTGCAAGAGATCAGTCTAAATAACTTCAGTGGTACCTTCCACCTTGTATTTCATCATTCCAGATGGAGCTTGGATATGATGGACTTGGATAATGGTTGGACTGGATGATCTTAAAGGTCTTTTCCAACCTAAATGATTCTATGATTCTATGATCTCGTATGGCAATTCTTGGATTAATTTACAGTTAACAATAGCAATACTAGCATGTCTTAATTAGAGTTGCCCTTAGAAATGTGAACTGATGTGACTATTCCTTTTGTAATGCATACCAAATATTAGTAAATCATTATAATAAAAATTATTTGTTAAAATTTACTATTTTAGGTAATAGTCACTATTTTACATTTATATGAAATCTTTCATTTTAAGTGAAGCTTTAAAACCTCTCCAGTAAATAAGCACCCCTGGGTACCTGCATGGCATAGATGTAGATTGCGGTAGAGAAGGTGCGTTGTTGTAGGCTATCTTTTATCTCCCCAAATGGCAGAAGCTATGTTTCTTGGAGAGGCTACTAGAAGAAGGTTTAGCTCTTTTGCCTCCATTCAGTCTTGCCACTGGATGCAGAAAAGAGGTGGAAATGTTTCCTGCCCACTCTCTCTCTCATAGGCAATGCTTATTCGGTAGTGGAATAAGTGGTACACCAAACTACCCTTGTAGGAGGCTATAAGCAGGTGTCATACCTCTTCTGTCCATTTGTTTAGTCATGGCCTTAGTTACAGAATTACATCTATAGCAAAATGACGTTCACCAGTGATGAAATACAGCAAACCGAGAAGGTGAGCGCAGTGGCTTTTTAGCCACGCACAGTGACATGCCATAGTAATTCTTGTCAGAAATTAGGAAAGACTTTGTGACTCCTCAGGTCAGTTTTCATACTGGCTATCAGCACATTAAATAGAGCTCTGTTTATGACCAGTGTTTTAATCGTAAATCCTATTTTTTGTCTGTACTTAATTTCTAAGATTTGATAGGAGATGCCAATGAAAAGGCGTATGAGTTTATGGGTTTGTATAAAATTGCCTGACAACAGCTAGGCACATGATTTAACTTTCAGAAGATAGAGTTAATAGTACGTGGGCTATTTTTATTTTTCATTCAGCACTGCAGGAGAAGGGAGGTCTATGAAATAAGCTCAGGACTTGGAGGTTGCTTGTATGGTCAAATCTTGAGGTATTCAGAAGGATTTTTTTCCTGGGTAAGGAGTGCAACATCTGTGTGTCAGGCATGAGAAAGGGACAGACAGTCCGTGGAGGATTGCTCAGGTGTCATGAGCTGCAAAACTTCCTGAGAAGACAAAAAGCTATTTTCCTTCCTCTTTGCTGTGGTACCAGGCATTGCTGCCTTCCATACACTTGCTGTAAAAGCACTTTGGGAGAACCAGACAGGAGATTTAATTGAACAGTCAAACATTTCTACCATTCCCTTTTTCATATCAGAGGAGTTGCTGGTGGAGTGCTAATGTTCTGTCTGTAGGGAGTGGGGCTGAGGGAAATGCTCTATGGGGATGGGAGATGGCAGCTGTCTGGACCTCTTTGCTTAAAGCCATTTTGCTTTGCCTCATTGCTAGAGTGGGAAAAGACATCTTTTCTATATGTGAAGAATGGATTTTTCTGTCTGCTGAGCACAGGAAAGCTTCTGAATCTCTATGAGAACAGGCCATGAAACATATTTGTAGCCCATCAGGCCTAAGGACTTCAATACCTGCTGTACCACTGGGAAGGGGATGGTTTTTTGATATGTGATGGTTTCATTCATATGGTGCTTCCATTTGCAAGAGAACCTATAACTTTTAATGTCTTTTAGCACAGGAAACTTAGCTCCCACAGAGAAGAGAAGTAATTATCTGATACAGAATTAACAAAAAAACCCCTCTTTCAAGGTTTACATCTATTTTGAGCTTATTTTTGTTACGTGCATGCATTTCTATGCATTTGAATTCAAAAGGGTAGATACATTCTTATAGCTTGGTATTAAAAAAGAAATTTTTACAATTGCATAAACCTAGTGCAGCCTGGTGTACACTTTTTCATTCCTGGCATCATCAAAACAGATACCTCCTTCTGCAAACTCATGGGCCATAGTAGGAGGAAAGCTCAGCTCTTGAACTGCTGAATCTGTACAGTAGTAAGCAAAATCTGAGACTTTCAAAGATGACTGTGGTTTTAGAATGAAATTCCTCTAATTAAGGGGCATTTCAACTATTACTTTCCAAAACAATTAGATGTCTTTTCCAAAACGTAGGGAAATACCAAATATCTCTAACATTTGAGTGTCCACTGCTGCGAGTCTGATCAAAATATCCCTGTGTGCCTCTGATACAGAGGGAAGAGTTATAAATCCAAATTGGATACCTTTGACCGCTGGCAGCAGGACAAAATAGACAAGTGAAAAACCTCAGATTTGGTACAAACCAGTCATTTTGGAAGAATGATGTTTTGCAATAAGTGACTTGGAAAATTCCAAAGAGAATGACATGGATTTCATATTTGCTTTATTTACCCGAAGATCTCTCATGAATTAATTCAAAATAATAGGAATAGCAGTAGTAGTAGTAAGGAAGATAAACACATATATGCACATATGTAGTTTGGTGAACACCTATTAAAATGAAATAGCATAGAAATGCTTGAAGCATGTCATGATTTTCTTTTGATGAACTTGAGTTTCCTGATAAATTAAAAGATGATTGGAGAGTCATAGCTTGTCAGGAAAGTAAGCCAAAATAAACTGTGTCTTTATAATATTCTTTAGTAGAAAATGCTCTAGGGAGCATACAAAGTTTAAAAACCCAATGCCTTTTCCTGGTGATACTTTAATCACAAAATAATAGCGTTTTCCTGGAACTATTTTAAATTAATTACTTTAAAATAGTGAGATAATTGGCGGGTGATAGTTTTTGAGAGCTAATAGTTAAGTGGCTCCTTTGTTATGCACAACTAGTCTTGTAAGCAGTATGAATTATGTCACATTGTGAAATTCCTTCCTATTTAAATGGTGAAGTAAGATATAAGGAATGTGTATTTCACATCCATTACTATGGTGGGCACCTAGAAGGTAGGAGATGAGGAGGAGTACATCTGGAGAAAAATAGTGCATTAAAAGATCATGTTAATTAAACTGTACTGCACTTGCCTCATCTTATGATTTTTTTTATTATTCTTCCACAGCCTCAGACCATTCGGCAAACTCTTCAAAGGACACTGCAGTATTTTGAGCATCAAGTTATTGGGTAAGCGTTAACGTGAGGTAGTGAAAGGTGCATGGTAATGTTTTCCTCTGTGCTTCCCAAGTCACAGCCTTGTTTGACAAGCTTTTTAATTTTTCTCACAAATTCTTAGAGGTGCTCTGGAGTACTATGAATGTTAATGATAAACTCCTGTCCAGTCCTGCTTCCATGCAACCCCATCAGAACATGAACTGCTCCACTAACATACGTAACTATATATATATGTCCTATATAAGGAGAACAGGGAATCTTTTTGTAAAAGTATAAAATCTATTCCAATTTGCTTTTCACAGAGCCAGCTGAGAATGCTGGAAAAGTTATTTATGCTATGACCTGAGGTCCAAATCCTGCAAAATCCTGCATCAGTGCTTGTTACATACGCGCACTGTTACATACTTGCAGGTTTTTTTGCAGAAGCAGGGCTGAAAGCCACCTCCAAGAGTTCATTGAGAACATTGATAGATGATTGAGGAGTAAAAAGAAAGTAATAGCAACTATCATCATGAAAACCTAAGGCATTCTCCCGTTGATTAAAATAATCTCCTTTCAACCTTTTCCTTACCTGCACAAGTATTTTCCTTACCTCCACAGGTATTTTATTGTGCTTGTTACGTACACGCACTGTTACATACTTGCAGGTTTTTTGCAGAAGCAGGGCTGAAAGCCACCTCCAAGAGTTCATTGAGAACATTGATAGATGATTGAGGAGTAAAAAGAAAGTAATAGCAACTATCATCATGAAAACCTAAGGCATTCTCCCGTTGATTAAAATAATCTCCTTTCAACCTTTTCCTTACCTGCACAAGTATTTTCCTTACCTCCACAGGTATTTTATTGTCACAGATAACTTTTCCTAACAGAGTCAGGCTGCATGCCAATAGCCATTAATTGGCCGTGCCATATGACAAATGAAGAATGCTGTCCTCTGAATTTAATTACACAGACGTAACGAAATTTTTCTCAAGCTGTGTTGAGAGCCTTTTTATAATTTATGACATAGTTTCAAAGCTTGGTGCACTGGAGGGAATTGTCCTTGCCTATTTCTCAATGTTTGGTTAAAAAGCACAGGGAGCCGTAGCTTGGTGGGTGATACCTGCAATACTAGCAGTCTGGCTGGCACCTGAGGGCAGCGAGGGGGCCAGTCTCGGCAGGTAGCTGTGACGTCCACCGCAGGGCAGGCAGGGGGGAGAAGCCTTCTGGCTGCTAATTCTTTCAGTTGCTGAAAAAATGGCTTGAAGTCTCATGTTAGGAGACTTCAGAGGATGAGACAGTGCCTTGAGGAAAGCATGTGTGTGATAACAATGCAGCTTTTTATTTATGGCCACATGTGGCTTAGGTGTAGTTTTTTTAATGGACAAAGTTTAAAACTGTGACGCTCTGAAAACCTCTAATTGTGACTTACAATACACTGACTCAGTTTTTTGAACATCAGTATGAGTTTGTTAAAGTAGCTTCTGTTTCTAGCAGATGTCCTATATTTGTCCTGCCCCGTGATCTTTACTTTTGGTACACAATGTGGTGGGTTCACCTGGGCCAGCTGCCAGACGCCCACCCAGCCATTCTGCTCTCTCGCCTCCCCTCCTCAACAGGACAGGGGGAAAAATAAGATGAACAAAGCTTGTGGGTCAAGATAAAGACACTCCCAACTCCTCTACCTCCTCCCACCCCGAGCGGCACAGGGGGATGGAGGTTGTGGTCAGTCCATAACAGCTCCTCTCTGCTGCTCCTTCCTCCTCATGCTTTTCCTCTGGTCTTTGTGGGTTGTCCGTGGGATGCAGGTTCCTTCAGGGCACATCCCCCTGCTCTGGCCTGGGGTCCTCCACAGGCTGCAGCATGGATATCTGCTCCACTGTTAACCTCCATGGACAATCAGCTTCCCCATGGTCTTCTCCAGGGGCTGCAGGGGAATCTCTGTGCCAGCACATGGAGCACCTCCTCGCCTCCTTCTTCATTGACCTTGGTGACTACAGGGCTGTTCCTCTCACCTCTTTTCCTCACCCCTCACACCACCACAAAGTGTTTTGCCCTTTCTTGTCTAAGATGAGCCCACTCTACCTAATACGCTTTACTCCACGTGGAGAACCAGTTTCCCTGTTGGGGGAGTAACATGATGGGCAGCTCTGAATCCTTTCTAGTCCTTTACCACAGATGCTGGCAACCCAGGTGCTGAGATTTTGCAGGCATTAACCAGATGAAAAGTTCAATCCTTAAAACTGCTATTCATGATTTATGAACTATAAGCAAAGTATGAAAGCATAACAAAACTGTTACTAAAATACTCATTAGAAAGGCTTTTCTCTGTGCATTGAGCTAAATCAATTTTATATTTTGCCAAGTGCATTATCGCTCTGCTGCAATATTTTCTTCACTTATATTCCTTCTTCTGTTGTCATTGTCACCTGCATAAAGCTTTGTTTTAAAGATAGTTTGAGCTTCTGTTCTGCTTCTGTTGAATTAAGGAAAAAATCCAGCAAAGCTAAATCAAATAGAATAATTTAGATGGTAGCTGCTTGCTGGTCAGAGCATAGCTCTGTGCCTTTCATCAGTGGTGGGATTCTTTTTAATTCTTCTTTAACAGGCTATAGCACAAACTTTATTCTTGATAGGAGAGTGAGGTGCAGCTTGACATCTTTCTGCTGAGATCTTTTCAGAAGATAATCCACAGAGAAAGCTACGTTTTACACTTGCAGTGCAATGTAATGTGATGAGGAAGATTTATTATTCTTATTAGGTAATTACCATTGCCTCATAAACATCTTGCTTGGAGTTTACTGTACAACTTTGTTTTTGACAACACCCCAGTGGGAATGACGTATAAGACAGATATGTCTGATAGCCTTCCCTCATCCCTTTGGTACTATTTTTTTCTTACACCTTCATTCTCATTACAGATAATATACTGGATTCTAGTATAATAGTTGAGATACCCAGGCTACTAACACAGTGTCATCTGTGTGTGATAATGCACGGATGGAAAGGGGGTGATAGAGGGAAGAAGAGAGAAGAGACAAGGGAGGCTAAAGGCATCCTTTACCACCACTTCTGAAAGACATTTGTTGACCTTGCATTTGTAGAAGGAGATGCTGTAACTTTTTGACTTTTTTTGTTGTAGTTACAGGGATGCGGAGAAGAACTTTCACAATATATCAAACAGATGCTCCTATACAGACTGCTCTGGCAATGAAGAAACTGAAGATGTCTCAGGAATTCTCCAGTGTACAGCTAATGTTCTTGGTATGTATTTTTTCAAGGGAATTAGTTTCCTTTAGTTAGAAAGAAAGTTTACCGACCATCTTAATACCAACAATGAACCAAGTAATTTTTGCTCCAACAAAGGAAATTTAGGATGTAGGCAGCTACATATCAGTGCACTGTTATTACATTTGTCTCCTTTTCTACATATATTTTGCGCCTTTTAGACAATCCAGAATGATTTTTCAGTGGAGTCAGTGGAGGTGTATTGTGCAATACCCAGGTTGATGTCAGTGATTAGAGAAGTCTCAAAGGCTTTGAGTCCAAATAGTTACCATATTTTTTTTATTTGCATTTTTAAATAATTGAATGCTAACTTTCAGAAACAAGTGCTAGGACAAATGCTGTCATTTGCCATCTGCTGCTTTCATGGAGTTTGTAAATGGAGAGCTGTTGCAGTTGGTTCTCTGTGGAAAAGGCCCTGGGGGTCCTGGTGGCCAGCAAGTGGGACATGGGCTAGTGGCAAGTCCTGGCAGCAAAGGTGGCCAATGGCAACCTGGGCTGTATGAACAGGGGCAGACACACAGATCGAAGGGTCTCATTATCCCCCTCTACTCCGTACTTGTTAAACCACATCTGGATTACTGAATCCAATGTTGGGAGCCCAAAACCTTAGAGAAGTTCATAAACTGGAGGGAGTTCAGTTGAGGCCACCAAGATGGTGGGGGCTGGAGCAGCTACCCTGTGTGGGGGCTGGGCTTGTTCAGCCTGGAGCAGAGATGGCTTCAAGAGGACCTAGCAGCAGCCCCCAGTGCCTATGGGGACATCCTCAAGGACAGGGAGCTGGGCTCTTTACACTGGTGCAGAGTGGGAGGGACAGAGATAGCAGGCATAAGTTGGAACAGACTGGGTATTTTTCCCTGTGAGGACAGTCAGGCAGAGGCACAGGTAGCTCAGAGAGGCAACCTGTGTGCAGTCTCTGCCCTTGAAGGTTTTTAACCCCGACTGGGTAAAGCCATGAGCAACCTGGCCTGAATGACCAGGCAACTCATGGGGTCTCTCCCAGCTTGAAAGCCTCTCTGATTCTGGCCCAGCTAACAAGAAGGAGCTATTGATACCACGATGACATTTTTGCTAGTTGAGTACTGAGCTTTTTTTTTCTGAACTCTTCTATAGCACTCACACCACTTGGGGCTGTATTTCTTGTAATCATAGAATCATAGAATGCTTTGGGTTGGAAGGGACCTTGAGAGATCATCTAGCCCAACCCCTCTGCAGTGAGCAGGGATTGAACCTGTGAACTTGGCATTATTAGCACCGTGCTCTAACCATATCGAAACCCTCTTTGCTGTTCCATTAGAGGTCTCAGTAGGCTGCTGAGGTTGGGGTGGAAGGCACAAAGATGGCATTCTGGTTCATAAGGGAACTGGGGTTGTTTAGCCTGGAGAAGAGGAGGCTGAGGGGAGACCTTATCGCTCTCTACAACTCCCTGAAAGGAGGGTGTAGTGAGGTGGGTGTTGGTCTCTTCTCCCAAGTAGCTAGCGATAGGATGAGAGGAAATGGGCTCAAGCTGCACCAGGGGAGGTTTAGGCTGGAAATTAGGAAAAATTTCTTCACGGAAAGGGTGGTCAAGCATTGGAACAGGCTGCCCAGAGAGGTGGTGGAGTCACCATCCCTGGAAGTGTTCAAAAAACGTGTAGATGTGGCACTTGGGGACATGGTTTAGTCTAGTCTACCCTTGGTTGGTTTAGAGTGGACTTGGTAGTGTAGGTTAATGGTTGGACTGGATGATCTTAAAGGTCTTTTCCAACCTAGACGATTCTATGATTCTATGATTCTATAAGAAGTTTCCTTTGGGCTGGTAATATACAGTATAAACTTGTGACATTTTTATGGGATTATGCAGTTAGAGAGACTTTCTTCAACATGAGGCACAACACTGAAATCTGACCTTGTATGATAATGAACGATATGATTTACCTTCCATGCCAGGGCAGTGTAGCAAGGTGATATTCTGCCCACGTTGGGGTCTGGGCCATTGTATCCTGCTGACTTAAAATCCTTCGGAGGTATATGGATTGCCTGTCTGTCTTTTCTATCTCAAACTGTTAAACAGACTTGTTATGTTCTGTGAAATGGCTAACATGTTCTAGTTGAGAGATGACTCTGTTTCCCTGGCAATCAAAATGGGGTTTTTTTGGTGTCAAGTGCCTTACTCTGCAAGATGCTAGGTGCTGTCAGGGAGGTTCTGAGTGCCTTTAACTGCTGCTGAAATCCCTGGGAAGAGGTGGTACTTGGCACTTTGCACGTCTGGGTCATGGAGAGAATTTAGAACAAATTAAATTGTAAATGTGTCCAGTATTAGTTACCATTTTTTTTAATATGCATTTTAAAATAATTGAATACTAGCTCTCAGAAACAAATGCTATGAGTGATAAGGCAGGACTCATGCAAAGTAATGACTTTTCATGTTATCATATGCATATTAATATTATAAAAAAAAACTTTAGACATTCAGTACTTATTTCAACATGACACAAATTATGTGTTCTAAGAAATAGTTATGAATACCTTTTCATCTTCAGAGTGCTTTTAAATCAATATGTTAGTCTTGGTCCCTTAGCATGTCTGAGTAATGTGCAGCCCATTTTTTTCAGTGGTATTCTCACAGTGGCTATGTGTCAGGGGCAGATCAGACTGTTGGGATCACAGTGTAGGGGTTATGTCTAGACATTAATGTCTTGGGGAATGATTAAAATGGACTTTGTTGAAAATAAGCTTGCAGACACTTACTCTGGGAAAAGCTTACCTTTTAAAGAATGAATTTGAGTTCATAGCAAAAAAAAAAAAAAATTAAATGTGAGCAAAACACTAAGATAATTTAAAAGCAGTACTTCTTTCCTTCTCTTACCCTGGGAGAGGAACATAAGAGAACGGGCAGTAAAACCAGCTGCTTCTTTTTAATTGTAGTGCCTATCACAACAGGTAAATAATTAATGGAGGCTGTGTACTTAATTCTCACATAACACAGTTATTTTTCTGGTTGAATAAGGATTAGTGAGAGCTGCTTCTATGCAAGAAGGACATAACCACTGGGGTGTGTACCTAGAGCAATTGGCATTGCTGAGACAGGAGACAAGAATGAATCTGACTGTGAGGGAGGCTAGAGAAACTGTTGAACCAAATCTGGCTCTCAGTTTATTTATGTGAGTGGTAACAAGTGATGCTTGGAAGCAACCTTCTGCCCTCTTACCTTAGCCAAGTTCACAGGTTCAATCCCTGCTTACTGCAGGGGGTTGGGCTCGATGATCTCTCAAGGTCCCTTCCAACCCAAAGCATTCTATGATTCTATGATAATGCCAACATGATTCGCCTCTCCTGACCCTCTAACTGCCTCTAAAATAGTCATTTGGTATTCCTTATTCATCAGAAGACAGCAAAAGCTGAGATCATTAGTAAGCTTGGAGGACTGTGAGCAGGTGCTTCACGCCGTGGTCCTGGTGCTTACACTGCTCACAGCAAAGTGCTGACTGCAAGCTGTACGCTCAGCTTGATGCGTGTGATTTATCATGTATGAATACTGGAATTTTCCTCCTGTCAAGTCTTCACTAAAAAGTGTGACACCATCTTCCTGCAGTGGAAGGACCTGATTCTCCTCGTCTCCTTGCTAAGTTGCTCCGGCTGCAAGTCTGGACATCAATAGAGCTCTTCCTGCTTTAATCTGCTATAATTAAGGGAGCCATGTCCATCATGCTCACACACTATGAACCATGTTTGATACCAGATCAATGGCACAGCTTTCCTTGGTGGTGGCAGCTTCTGTGGCTGGAATATTTAATTTAACTTTGTATTCTTTTCAGAATAGTCCAGAAAGCTTTATGATGGACTCTGCTTTCTTTAATTGGTGTGTGCACACTTTTACAGTGTCCTTCATAAGCATATCATCTGAAGAAAAAACAAGGGATGATACATTGGAAGTTAGGAAAAAGAGAAGAGAAATCCTAGATTCTAAAGGGAGCCTTTATAAAGTTCCTAGTTTGAAATAAAGTATTTCAAAGAATAAGCACTGGTATGTTTTATCCTGTTGACACACATAATGCTTTTAGCTGGCTAGCTAAGCTGTGTTCAGAGCAGATTGGTGTTGTTAGTTTGAACTTATTTTAGAAAAAACGATAAGAAAAAGATTCCTATGATGAAGTATATTATGCGGATGACTACCACATTTCTTTATTAGGTGACTATAAATTTATGCTGAGGTATGTTAGAGAGAAAGATTGTATCTGAAGAGATTTCTTATTTGACCTTGGGAATGTTTTTATTCTTTCTGTGCCTCAATTTCCCATCTGTACAATGGAGATAACAGTTGGGGTTTTTTTTAATCCTTTAAACTGTATGTCAGTGCTGTTCAGATTTTAACCTTCTCAACGCAAAGACGTTTTCATACCATTTGTACATTCAGCATTTTGAGCAATGACAGCCAAATCTTGTTGGGGACTGCCTTTGTCCCCGTAATTTAAAATAATTTGATTTCAAGTAAGATTAGAGTGTGCGTTTTGACTTACTGCAGCTAGTCAGTGTAAAGCAGAAGATTTCCATGCAGTTGCAAGTTAAAACTTTGGCAACAGGAAAATAAGGATGAAAACTTTTTTTAATTGTTAGTCTGTAATTCCTACTGTGAGGAATATATTTTGGGACATAAAGCCTTCATGACCTGTCCTGCTCATCTGTTTTGCAGATATTCCAAGAAAGTCTGTGCTACTGAGCTTTACGAAGCAACACAGAAATTCCCAGTGTTCTTTTTTCAACCCCACTGTGTACTACTGATATATCACATGATGTTTCGCACATCCCAAATGCACAAACTAGATAAAAATTGTACAGCCTTCACCTCATGTCCTTCAAACACTCTTCTTAAACACTGCACACAATTAATGTGGTCTTTGTGGACATGAACTGTTCTTCACTCTTATTTCAATCCCTCACAAAAAAAGAACGGGCGTTTCATGGAGTTACCTGCTTTCCTTTAAATGTCACCAGTATTT